TCTCATACACACACACACACACACACACACACACACACCTCCAACAGCTTCTACCTGCAACTAGTCCAGTCTAAAGCTGTGAGCACCACGGCTGCAAAGCAAGAAATACAGCAGGGCAAGTTGAGAAGTCCAGGAATCAAAGGAAGAAGGCAAGTAATCCAGAAATCCAGAAGGAATGGAAGGAATCCAGGAAAGTCCAAATGTTGGCACTCAACCACTCCAGTAATTCGGAGTTTGTTCCCGACAATTCCCCCTCCCAAAAGTGTCTCCTTAAGTCTCAGTCCACAGGTGGACCTTTTGAAGAGGGGCGGAGTGCTGTCCCCCCCCCCCCCCCGGCAGGGGGGGGCGCCCCGGCCGTTTTCCCCTCCTTTCCCCCCCCCCCCCCCAGTGTCTCCTTAAGTCTCAGTCCCCAGGTGTGGCTTGTGAAGAGGGGTGGGGGCCCTCTCTCCCCCCGAGTAGTTGGGTCAGCCTGCGCTGTTCTCGCCTTCTCTCCACTCTCCACGCTCTTGGATCAGGAGTGAGTGGTCCTTGCTCCTCGCCTGAGCTCTGTCTCTCATGTTCACTGCTTAACCTCTCTTGGTCATCCTGCCCCCCTTCCTCCCTGCATACAAGCCATCCCAATCCTGAAAGGCCCCGGCTTGAGCTGATCTGATCCTCCCCATTTTCCTCCCAAGCCAACGAAGCCACCCCCTCAATCTTTGCTGGCGCCATTTCGGTCTCATTTCCCTCCGCTGAGTCAGGCTCCGACCACAAACCTCTCAGGACATGAGTGTTTTTTCTCTCTGGTGGGACCGATCTATCAGGGCAACCTAGTCTACCCAATTATGGGATGGAGCATTCTGCTTCCATTTTCATCTTTCAGGCACCTTCGCATTGCAGGCAGCCGTTTTCACGACAAACTATTTTTGTGTTGAATTTATGTTTTACCCACAAAGAAATAAAGGGAGGCTAGTATAGATTTATTTCAAACTACCGTATTTTTTGGAGTATAAGATGCATCTAGCTTTTGGGGAGGAAAACAAGGGGGGAAAACAATCTGCTTCTGCCTCCCAGCAATTTGCCTCCTTGCAGCAAACAGCCCGTTTCAGTTTCAACACAGCCTGATTAGCACAATCAGCTGATTGTCGGGCCTTTCAGGCTGCAGGGATTGCCATAGCCTACGGCTGCCTCCGTGCGCCCCATTTTCGGCTTCCGCCATCTCGTTTTAAGCCTCCGCACGCCCCGTTTTCGGCCTCCGCGCACCCCGTTTTCCATCTGTTCCGGGCGACGGGGATCGGAATGGGCGGAAAATAGAGTGTGTGGAGGCCGAGAATGGGGCGTGCGGAAGCGGCAATAGGCAATGGGAATCCCTGCAGTCTGAAACAGCTAATTATTGGGACACCGATTCAACCGACAATCAGCTGCTTGTGCTAATCAGGCTGTGCTGAAGCTGAAACAGGCTGTTTGCTGTTTGCTGTAAGGAGGCAAATTCCTGGGAGGCCGAGGCAACACTTTCATTTTATTAAAAAAAACCACTTTAAAAGCAAAGAAAGAAAGAAAAGGATGTACCTGGATACATTTTGCTGATTTCCTGTATGAAGGTGTCACTGAAGCCAGCGATGACAGCGCCACCTACTGGAACCATGAAGTTTTTGTCCAAACTTTGCACAAAGGCATCGATCCGGCCTCTTCGGGCACCCTAAAAAAAAAAAGAGCCAAAAATCCCCCCCAAAAAACAAGAGAAGAACAAAAGTGATAAAACTTTCTTTTTAATCTTGTAAAAGTTTAAAAGTTTCTTTTTAAGTTGTGTTTGCACCACGCAATAAGTCACGGCAAAACTCACTTAGCCACGACCGTCTCGCTTAGCAACATACATTTTGGGCTTACTGTTGTTAAGTGAATCGCTGCAAGTTGTTAAGGGAGTAACCTGGTTGTTAAGTGAATCGGGCTTCCCTGTTGAGTCTGCTCCTCAGAAGGTCGCCAAAGGGGATCACATGACCCTGGGACAATGTGACCGTCTAAAATGTGAGTTAGGTTGCCAAGGGCCTGGATTTTGATCCCATGACTACGGGTATGCTGCAATAGCAATAGCAGTTAGACTTATATACCGCTTCATAGGGCTTTCAGCCCTCTCTAAGCGGTTTACAGAGTCAGCATATTGCCCCCACAGCAACTTGCCCCCACAGTCCGGGTCCTCATT